CAGACGAGAAGAGGCAGGAAAGATATATTTGATTCGTTATCAATATATCGAGGACCTTTTCTATAAGCTGGCTAATGAAACGTAGGAGCTGTGTCCCACGCCGAGTTGAAACGTGATCTGGTACGGATGCATTACCGAAAGCCTTCAGCTAAACAAGTCCACTTAAATAACGTGGTCAGCATCCAATGTCGAACACTTAATGAGCTATTGATTTTAGGGAATTATTTACAGCTACAGATCACTCCCCCCTAGTGAGGTAGTGATGCCCCTAAGACGTGACCAGCCAGAAGTTTAAACCCAACGAGTTTGTCGTCGGTAAACACTCTTCTGATAGCTTGCTTCGTTTAGCAGCGTCTGGTCGTCATTCCTTAAACCATGGGACCAAAATGTACAATATAGCAATAAAGAAATATAGTACAATGAAAATTTCGGTTCCTTGCGAAACTTCGTCGTTCTTTTCCAGCCGTCCTGGAAAAGAGGAAAAATAAAACGTGTGAGTGCATGTCGAAAATACACTCGTACTTGCGTGAGGACACAAGATGAGCGGAAAAAAACGAATGCACTTACAAACAGCGTAAAAGCGCTCGGGGAAAATGGGTTTTTTTGGGTTTTTTTATATATGAAAAATATATATACGCTGAAAAAATTTTTTTGGTTTTTTTGTAGAAATAAAAAATTATCATGATAAATCTTTTTTTTTAATAATAAACTATGGAAGGGCAATTCAAGATAAAGCTTATGTCCTACGTGCAATATTCGTTAAGATGTTCTGGAAATCTTACTCGTCTTCCAGAACGCGTTGTTTTAGGTTTATTTATCGATGTTGACGAAGTATCAAGTTGTGTGTCGGTTGTCGTGTACGGTACTACGAGTGTAGTGGCTGTGTCGTTTGCTTGTACCGAAGGAAAATCGACGTAGCTAGGGTTTCCTTCTAAGTACGCTGCTTTGAGTTGATCGATACTGATGCTATCGTTCGTACCGTTCTTATCCACTACATAGTACTTAGGTTCGCGTTGAAGAATTTTGAAGGGTCCTTCGTATGCTGATTCGAGAGGTCGTCGATGTGAGTCTCGACGAACGAAGACGTGTGTACTATGTCGTAATTCGGGTTGAACGAAAACATAAGTTGATTGAGGTCTAGTGTGAGCAGGTTTAACTGAACGCATAGCGTTTGTAAGCCTACTCGTGTAAGAGTTTAGATCCATGTTCAATGAAGAAGCTGAGGGATCTACGAATTCTCCTGGGAGTCGAAGTGTCGTTCCGTAAACGAGTTGAGATGCCGTGTATCCAATGTCAGCTTTCACTGCATTGCGGATACCCAGCAAGACGAGTGGAAGAGCGTCTGTCCACTGTGAAACGTTTGAAGCTGATAATGAAGCTTTTAGTTGTCTATGAAAACGTTCTACCAACCCGTTTGCTTGTGGGTGGTAGGCGGTCGTTCTGAAGCGCGTGATTCCTAATAGTGAGGTGAGACAACGGAAAAGTCCAGATTCGAACTGGCGTCCGCGGTCTGTAGTGATGGTTGAAGGGCAGCCGAAATTTGCTACCCATCGTTCGACGAAAGAGCGGGCCACGGTTTCGGCAGTAATGTCCTTAATCGGTACCGCTTCTGGCCATCGAGTGAAACGGTCTACGCATGTTAGGAGATATGAGTATCCATTCGAGTCGGGTAAGGGTCCTACCAAATCTAGATGGACGTGGTCGAAACGAGCGTCAGGGGTTTTGAAAGAACCTAAGGGACATTTGTTGTGTCTTACGACCTTAGATTTCTGACAGCTTACACAGGAGCGTGCCCACTCCCTCTCGTCTTTATTCATGCCAGGCCAACAAAAGCGTTCGGCTATAAGTTTGACTGTTGCACGAACATCTGCATGAGAAAGATTGTGCAACGTATTGAAGACGTTGCGTCGATAATGTTTCGGTACTATTGGACGATCCCTACCTATAGATGTGTCACAGAGTAAGGTTTCCTTACCTGTTCCCATCTGCTTAATACTTAGTTTAAGAGTTGTCGAGGATAACTCATGCTGAAGATCAATGTCTTCTTTTTGAAACTGAGCGAGTTTAAGAAGGTCGAATCCTTGGAAACTGTTCAAGGAACTTATTCGAGACAAGGCGTCTGCGACTACATTATTAGCTCCAGATATGTGTTGTATGTCTGAAGTAAACTGCGAAATGTACTCGAGTTGTCGAGACTCTAGCTGTGAGTACTTGTCTGAAGATGAACTTAAGGAGAAGGTAAGAGGTTTGTGATCGGTAAAAAGTGTGAATTCTCTTCCTTCGATGGAACGTTGAAAATGCCGTGCAGCACAATACATAGCTAGGAGTTCCCTACCGAACGTGCTGTACCTAGATTCCGCGTCTAACAACCGTCTCGAGAAATATCCTAAGGGTTGCCACGAGTTGTTAACCCATTGTTGTAAGACTCCTCCGATTGCTGAGTCGGATGCGTCTACCGCGATACTAATGGGCGCTTGAGTGTCCTGATGCCCAAGCAGGGTTGCCTTTGCGATATTTTCCTTAACTATGTAGAATGCTTTTGAAGCGGTGTCGTCTAAACTAATTGATTTTGCATTTCCACGAAGCTGATCGGTTAACGGTTTCATAAGGGATGCGCATATGGGTATGAACCGTCTATAGAAACTTACAAGTCCGTTAAAAGTTCGTAAGTGCTTGATCGCGGTCGGTTCTGGGTAATCCAGAATGGCCGCCACTTTGCTCCTAAGGGGTCGGATGCCTTGGGCATCAATGGTGTGTCCTAGGAAGTCTAAGGAGTTTGTTCCGATTTGGCATTTCTGTATGTTGACAGTAATGCCATGCCCTTGGAGTCGATCGAAAACAATGTCCAGATGCTTAGGATGCGATTCTCTGTCCGAACTTGCTATTAGACAGTCATCAACATACGCATGTACGAAGTTGAGACGTCGAAAGACGTCGTCTATAAACCTTTGGAAGGTTTGAGCCGCATTTCTTAGTCCAAAAGGCATTCGTAGAAATTCGTAAAGACCGAAGGGAGTGATGATGGCGGTTTTAGGAATGTCGTCAGGTGCCATCGGGATTTGGTTATAAGCTTTAACCAAGTCGATTTTCGAAAAGACAGTTGTACCTTTCAAGGTAGCTGTCAAATCGTGAATATGAGGCAACGGGTAACGATCGGGAATGGTTTTGGCATTCAGACGCCGATAATCACCAGTTGGCCGCCGATCATTGCTGTCCTTTTTAGGGACCATGTGCAATGGGGATGCCCATGGACTATTCGATGGTCGAATTATCCCTAGGTCCATCATGTGGTCGAATTCGTTTTTAGCTAACCTAAGCTTCTCGGGAGCGAGTCTTCGAGCTTTCGAAAATACAGGTGGTCATGTAGTCGAGATGTGATGTGTAACATTGCTGGTTACACAAGGCAATTTCGATTGCGATTGGGTATTTGTCGAGTACTGATTGGCACAAGGGGTCTATAGTGTGCTTAATCGTGCCTGGGGATAACCTGCAACCAGAACAAGGAGTTACGCAAACAGATAACTTAGTGTTTCCGTCTGTTAACCTTCGTGAGCGTGTGTCGATGAGTAGATTGTGGTATTGTAACAAGTCTATACCAATGATTGGCATAGAGACATCTGCAACAACGAAAATCCAGTGTATGGGTTTGCGTAAACCCACGTTAAGGTAGACGTACCTTTTAACGTACCTTTTAACCTTTTAACGGCTTTCCGTTTGCCGCCTGTAAACTTAAAACAGACTCGCGAAGTCTGTCGTCAGGATTTGCTGGAAGAACGCTAACTTCTGCGCCAGTGTCGACGAGGTAGCGAACTTTCGTAGTCACATCCGTGACATATAAGAGGCGGCTGTGTTCGCCGGCTACGGTTGCCGTTAACGCGTGCCGGCTGAGAAGTTTCCCGAAATCTTATTCGTGTCAGTCGATTTTGAAGTCGGATAATTGCAAGGTTTCCTGCGATTTTTGGAAAACTTACCGTACTGGTTATGATACCAGCACCAGTCGGGATTATCTGGCTCTCGACCACGAGAGACAGATCGCTTACGTGAAACGCTTCTACGCGGGTTTTTTGACCGACTACGGTCATTGCGAACTCTAAGATATCGTGTAAGCGTGTGACATAGTTCGGTTATGTCAGACGGGGTCGATTGAGGTCTTTCTTCGATGGAAAAGACCTCGGCCTTAGAAAATTTGGGGATTTCCAAGGTTCGATCGGTAGATGCAGTTCATCTATGGCATTGTTTTGAAATGAAACAAGCACTGCCTGCACCTGTTGAGGGAGTTTAGACAAGAAAAGTTGTCCAAATAGGCCATCATCGAAAGTTCGTTGGCCGATGACTTCTCTCATTCTAAGCATTATGTCCGTCGCAGAACCACGTTGCAAGTTGATATTGTTAAGGAGTTGGTCTAACCGTTATCGGTCGGTTAGGTCGCCTCGTTTTAAAATTGATAGCTTAAGCGTTTCGTAAGGTTCGGGAACATCACTAGTAAACATACTAGGTGTTACGTACCTGTTAAACTCGCGCGGTAACGCCTTAGTTACCGCAAGGAAACGTGTGCGCGAGTCCGTGATTCCGTGCATGCAAAAATCGGCTTCTGCATAGCAGAACCAGGACTCGATATTGTCGGGCCAAAATGGCATTAACTGAATCGAAATAGGGGGAATAGACTTAAACTTAAGAACCTTAGGAGAGTGTTCCGTCATAGTAATATAGATAACGAAAAATGTCTAATTAAAATATATCCGAGAAAGAAAGCCTTCAGCTAAACAAGTCCACTTAAACAACATGGTCAGCATCCAATGTCGAACACTTAATGATCTATTGATTTTGGGGAATTATTTACAGCTACACTTTATTCCTCTATTATCGTTAATATACCTAGGTTTCTGCCTAGAGGTATTGGTGATCCACTGTTAATAGACAAGGAAGCCCGTTAGGCGAAAGTTCCTTTTATTTCGTGTACAACCATTTAAAAGCATTTATGAACTAAATAAGCCCACGATAATCAAGCGCTTTTTTAAATGTGCTCAAGGTCGGACAAATCATTGGTGTTTTGAAATGTCGGTTCGAAGGTGTAAGGCTGTAAAAACAGCTGGATACAGCTTAGCACAGCCGATAGATCCCGGAACGCTAATACAGGACTCATTAAAAAGGAGATGGATTGCAGGTTCTGCAATTGGTCAGGGTGGATTCGGACGTATATACTCAGGTAAAGTTGATTTTTAGCTTCTTAATAAGAGACGCAGCCAAACTTGAAGGCGAGAAACTTTTCCGTTATGTCATTAAAATAGTAAGAATTTTAGCTTTTATAAAATGATTTTCAGGAACCACAAGAAAATGGACCACTTTTTACGGAAATGCATTTTTACATGAGGGCTTGTTCAGAAGACTCAAGTGTGTTTTCGAAGTGTATTTTAATCATGAGTATAAAACCATTGTTACTTTGCTTTGTAATTGGGTTGCGACTATTGTTTTAAAGGGTAATTTTCTGCTCTTATAACTGTACCTGGAAAATAATACTCTGCTTTTAGACACACAACATAACCATTACTTGGCATATCAACTTGTTCAAATATAGGTATGCTTTCCTGGGAGGTAGTTGTCAATCGCACAGATAAATCAGTCATAATAGAGAGTGATACTTAGGTGTTTCATCTGGTGTTCTGTTTCATGCATCCCACCTTGGTACTAATTGTCTTTAGCTTTGGAGTTGAAAGTTGGAAGTTATGGGGTGTTCCGTCTCTAGAGTAACGTATTCTTCGAGAGTCATAACACAATAATGTCGCTTTGAAGGAAGTTTAGTATATACATACAGCTGTGACCATCGCTACATAATAATGAATCTTATTCACCACCACCATATTTTTATTCAGCTTGGCTATAATTTGTAGACAACTTTTAATTGACGCTAAAGCAACCTTGAAGAAATTCTCCCGTTTGTCACGGTCGAAAGAGAGTTGAATTCCAGCATAAGAAATCACGATTAGGATTTAAAGTTGAGGTTAGGAATTTTAGGTAGATCTTTCAGCATGGACTGACATCAGTTATGATGTCAAAGTGTTACTCAACCTACATATGCCGAAATCCCAGTCTTTTTATCTTTAATTTTATTGGTTTGCCCATAAATTATAGTCTGTCGACTAGTTACTTGTTTTAGATGAATTTCGTGATATAATAAGCTTTTCACAGTTAATAAGCGTATACTTGTGATAGAGTTCATTTGCTGCTGTCTCTAAAGTTCCATTCGTATGTAGTGATTAAAAAGAGCAATAATCCTGATGAGTCTTATTACTGGTATGTAATACTGAATAAAGGTAGCATTATTTTGAAATTCCATGACACCAGATAGCACAAGCTGCAGGAAACTAGCTTAGTAGAATAATCTACCTGGTTCATAAATGTATAGTATGTAAACTTATTAGTCTCAAGAAATATTTCTTGTCCTTCATTATGTATCTGGTTGTAACGAATATGAGATTCTTGATATATACGAAAAGTTCGGTATTCGAAAGCCAGTTATTTCCTCAGTCTGTACATTTATGGTGTGATTGGTAGCAGATTTAATGGTGCCTGTGGATTACCTAAGAGTATGGCCACAGTAGTGGTTTTTTCACAAGAAATGGTTTGTATGTTATATTTGTTTTCACTATATTACCACCAATGAAAAGCGAGTTGAACCTCCTTGATTGTGCTTTTTAGCACGCCAAAAGTCTTTTTTTTGCTACAAACAGCTGTGTATCACTGTTGGGCACAATTCATTTTATATTTATTAGTATGGTAAACTGAGTATTTCAAGAATGGTTCTCCACATGATTCGTACTCAGTTTATCTCGTATTGTATTACTAACACCACATTTCCACTACAGCCGGGTTTGGATAATCTGAAAAGGCTTTTAGAATAATGTTCCAGTTTTTTCCTCTTTCTTGGACTCGAAATCTAGTTTTTCTGCAACTTGGGTTTTTTTTATCTAGCCATATCTCCGGATAAAGCGGTAGTTAAGGATGTTCAAACAATAGACTTCTGGAATACTGTATCGTAATTAAATGAGTTGCGACTGTTTAAGTAGTAACCACTGGTATACAGTCTGCTCGTGTTCGAGAAGTGGGAATACCAGGGTGATGCACCAACATTGCCTAATGTTGCGTATGAGAGATAGATTTTTACCTTCGTAAGATTAGTAAGAACACTTAGTCCTGAAACAGGTTGTTTCTACCTACTGGCTCTCCTGAATATGTGCATTCAGATTACCAACGAGTGGCGAAACTTTCTTACTACATTTTATAAAGTATAAAGTATCCTCAACACTTGTAAAGTTTACACGAATTGCTGAGAACTTAGTTAAGCTTATGTACTATATATAATGTCCATTTTTTTGAGTATTTAGTGACTGGTAAAAGTATCAGCGCTTCAAATGATTATAAGTATGTGCTTCTGTTTTTGCTGTAAACGAGTAGTATGTATGTATCTAAATTGACTTTTTACCTTGGATTCTTCGCCAGTGAACTGGGTCACTAATTTAAACAGCCAGAAATCTACAAATTTGGATCGTTGCATATTTTTTGGTCATATAGTATCCTTCATCATCATAAGTATTTAAAACCTGGCAAATATGTTTACCTGACTATTAAGTCGCTCCTGTTTGTTGATCCCTTTGTACGGTTAGAAAAGTTAAGTGTTGTTTTAGTTAAGCGGCGGGAATATTATTCACTTCTCGTATTCTGTCATTCCCAACTGGTAACCGAATATAAGTTCTTATACTAGAATGTGGGTCATATTTGTTGCTCAAGTTAGTAATATTGCCAAACTGTTTGGTCCGAAGTAAACTGTTTTTATGTCCGTAACCGAGCGGTCAAAAGTAATGTACGTGTCACCAAGTCCAGGTTTCACTGTCAATCCTTATCCTGTTATCATAGTATTTAATGTATAGCAATAGTTTTGTCTTTGTAAACGTGAACCGTTTCAGTGAATCTGAGACCCAAATAACATTATGCATTTACAGTTGATAAGATCCGTAAAATATGTATATCACTGTTCAGGCGTTTTATTTCGTAAACTCATCAGTCAATCTGGTTGGTTTCGAATATATTTCTTTATTTTAAAACGTTCTCTCCTACTTAAGATTTAATAAGCCTCATATTTAGTCATGTTTACCTGTTGTTTTTGTCACCCAACTAATATACAAGTCAATTCATGGAAAGTAAAACATGCCCTCAAATACCTTGGTATTCCGAGGTATATAAGCAGTGGATCAATCAATTTAAACAAAGCAGCTCTCCGATTTCTTGTAATGGACCGGTTTTCTGGAGATCTGGAAACTACACTAAAAAATCACGAAATATCCATATCTGGTATTCTTGAAGCCTGTGCAAATGTGGTGGGTATTTTGACCATAAAGCTATGTGTAATTTAGCTCTTCAAAGATTTTATTGTGTACTGCGTATACTACAAACCTCTACTAGTATGTCTTCTGACTGGATAAAATGGCTTAGAGCTTGGGAGTTTATTATTTCTATTCGAAGCGCCTCACTTTAAAACAGTAGACTGAGGAAGTCAACGTGGTAGAGGAATAACATTTTGATATGGTACTGACTACTGCATTTCTCATCAATAACCAGTATTTTCAATATTTTATAATAGTTGCGCCATATCGCACTGGGCGGAAAATGAATAAAATCCGCCGTTCATACAAACACGAGCTGTAGAGTAAGATATATATTTAAAATTGAAGTGAGAAAAAATAAACTAAGCGGAGTTGGGAACGCGCCGAGATATAAGATTATATAAATTTCAGACTGATCAAAATAATGTAGTCACTGACATTGAAACTGATAATTGTTTTAGAAAAAGCACTCTCTAGGTCTTACGAAAATATTAAGGGCTGGATTTCCTGAGTGGCCGTTAACTGTAGTAAATGTATCCAAAACTCATTCCTGTGAGGTTATAGAGCCAACGTGAACCAGTGGTTTGGATCCGGAGTTATCTAACTCCCCTAGATTCTCCTCTTATCCGCTTTAGGCATTGAGCGTTTTATTTTACTCTCACTTTTCATAGAAGCACTACGTGAAGGTATTGAGTAAAATTTACCCGGAAGGGAGCATATATTTGAAATTGCATTAGTGTCAGCCTTCCACATGGTTTAGGGTACTAATTATCTCTGAATTTATATATACAATCCACGTAGTGGGCTGAAATTATTTGCATAATTCATTACTTTAACCTTCGTTTTTCCTAACAGCGTTTCTGTATCGCTAGTTTATCTAGTTCATAATCTTTCAAACGTTTTAGTTAAATGCGTTAGAATATATGCATTCAAGGGATTATGTACATGCAGATATCAAAGCATCAAATCTTCTTCATCGAACGTCCCAAGAGGAGGTTAGTTTTGGATAGTTGATTAATTATGTAGACAGTTAATTTTGAAATTTCTTTGTATAACTGCTTGTATGACCTCACGTTTGGAACTGTAAACGTCCTTTTTAAATTCATGTGAGACATGTATTCGCTTACATCATGTATTTTTCCCGCAAATTGTTTTGACCTACTCTATGTTACGCGATTAAAAAGTGTTAACGCCAAGACCTAATGAACTCACTGCAATTACCTTGTAACACTATATTCTCAAAATTCTTGACTCTAGTTACTTAGTTATTGAAAAGACAAACCTTTCCTGAGACTTAAGAATATATTTTATAGAAAGATATCATTTTCTGCATAATTTCTCTTTTCGGTAATTGTTCATTACATTCAACTAATTACTTGCTTAAAAACGAAGTTCTCGCTGAACAGATGTCAAAACTGAATAGACATGACACAAATCACAGTACAATACATGCTGAAGTAACTTATAACTGAGTTTATCGAAAATTAATTGAATGTTAAACCGAACTATTATCATATTGAATTAATCAAGCAATCTTACTTTCGGACACTTCTTATCAGTTGCCTTGCAGAAATCTCACATCGTTTCGCGGAGGACTTAATATGGCTAGTCAGAATCAGCTCTAAAGTCTAGTCTTTATTCCACTATCTAATGAGTAACTTACAAATTTCATATTCTCCGAACATTTTACATTTAATCATGTACATTTTCGTAACTAATATTTTGAATATGAACATGTTATTTTGCCGGTGAAAGTCTATTCTTTTAAACAGAATGACAATGTCTTTCATTCACGTACATCCTGGGATTTGAGTCGATGATCTGGTCTCATTAGGAGTTATCACTTGGTCACCTAGTAGCATTGAACATTATATACTGATTAGTATCCTGTTTATTCTTTTTAGTGACCTTGTAAAGGGGAATCATCACAATTCACTAAAAACTATTTTTTTCGTAACCGTTGTCTACAGTGTTTCAGAATAGAAGTGAATGGGGATCCTATTACAGTGTTTTTAACTGGGATCGGCGGTCGGAGATGTTAGGTGACATTGTAGTGAACAAAACACTAGTTGGGGACAATCGAATGTATTTAAGCAAAGATTACAGACTATCTCAGTAAATTCTGATTACCAAACAATGAACAGTCAATTTGCAAATTAACAACCAATTGTTTCAATCTTCACTGTTTCTTTTCTTATTCCATTGCTCATGCATTTTCCAAACGATTGCGCTTCATTTCAGTTCTTTCCTCATCGGTCTACTGCCAAAATACATTCTATGTCTGACCCACACCATATACTACTTATATGGATATAAGTAGACCACACCACAACATGACTAAGAATTGGTTACAGTGGTGCAAATACATTTATTATCTATCTTAAGCTTCAGTATTTCATAGATAAATCTGCATTCTGTATTTCCATTTGGTCTTTCTCATTATTATTTCTAACATTACTTTGCTATTCATTTTATTAATTTCACCTCTTCGTGTTATTTTAGCATTGGGTAGTGGACCTTTGCATCAGACTCCACGTTTATGACTGACAGTTTACATTTTCCCACTATGTTGTCAACAGTAAAATATGTGTCTTCAAAATGAATAAAATCTTTCCCGGTTGTGGCGAGACCACAAGTTTTTATAATCTCACTGAAGACCACAGTTTATAGATGAACCAATTAGGCTTAAGGTGGTGATATTTTTTGGAATTTTGTGCAAAGTTCATTCGTATGGCGACAAAGCATAATTGTATTATAACTAGCGTCAGTTAGTGATGAAAACCTTAACCTTGGTTCGTAGCCCTAACTCCTAGTCCCCAGCACTAATTCTTAGCCCTATTTCGAGCCTAGTAAGTTGCTAAAATTTTTCAAGATCATCTTAAAATGTGTCAAAGGTCCCCCACAAATTATAGTTTCACCGAAGTTTTGCTTTCCGTGAATAAAATTAAAATAGCTAACCTACTTGATCATTCTAAACTCGTTTAAAAAAATTGATTTCAGGTTTATTTAGCTGACTTTGGTCTAGTTCATTTATTTCGTTCAAAAGGTGTACATACTGCTGAAAAGGCAGATCCGAAATTTCGTCACAATGGAACAATAGAATTTTGCTCAAGAGATGCACATAATGGTTGGTATATTCGGAATAATATAATGTTTTTGTATTAATCTGTCATTTGGGATAATTTTTTTACTTGCATATTGTGTCAATGTGTTGTTTTAGAATGTTAGTTTCAATACGTTTTTCGGTTTTAAAATGTAGATGCGACTCGAGATGTAATATATGTTTGTATTAAGTCTTTAAATAGGCTAGCAACTCGTTATACCCAACTCGTTATATTTTCTGAATTAGTTGAAAGTCGTAGCATTGAGTAGTAGTAATAATTGTTGTTGTCTTTTTGTATGGTTGTTTTTAGCTGCTCCTCCTCACTCTGTTGAATTCTAGTTGGAGATAATTTTATGTATGGGGTATTAAGTGATGAAGTAGAACTTAACAGTATTTGGATGTTCTATAAGTATCATCATGACTTTGACTTCTGAATGTATAGTATCTATATTATACTTCTGATAGATCGTTTGGTTGTTCAATTATGAAACACTGAACAATGAGTCCTTAATCAACATTAACTTCGTGGAGCCGTTCTCCTTACACTTAGTCAATTCAATCTATTTGGATCAGCTTAAATAATCAGTTAAACCCATATTATATTCAAGTTCATGTCATCTTGACTTAGTTTTTGTACACTAATAGGAAATAAACCGATTGTGTTTGTTTGAGGAGAGTTTCGTAACATATTTATGTTCTAGATTTCATATTCTGTTGTGCTTTGAATAGTTTTGTCTTCCAAAGTGAATTGGATGCTTCAAAATGTTGATTCTTGCCGTCCATTATGATATCAATTGTTCTCTTAGCAGTTTTACATATATCTATCAGCATATTTTCACCATGGATGTTTCTCTTAGCCTTATAATTTGTTTAACATCTTGAGCAATAGTTGAAAAGTAGGTGTATATTTAGGCTACATCCAGTTTATTTCACGCTTAATATATATGTGTGATGTTAAATTGTTGGGGATGTCAAATCCTTAGAACTCACTTGGTAAATGGCTTAGTTTTGTAATTTTATTTTGAAAATTTGAATTTAGCTGTTTTCGCGCCAAAAGCGCTCTTTTTACCTTCACGTCATATTTCCCACCTGTAAACTATCTTAACCGCTATTGGTCCATTGTTTCTTTATGTGTGCTATTTACTAATGATGCTCAAGGACAATTTGTTACTGTATAAATGCGCTTGACTTTTCCCCTTATTTGATTGCTTGTACTCGGCTGCTTACGGAATATATATATATATTCCCCTACTTGCCTTGGACTTCTTCATCTAGTTAGCGGGGCCTGGGACAACCGATTAGAATAGCTTATCGTGTTATTGTGTCATTGGCTTTCGTTCGTTACCGCGGAATCGATTTAGTTTCAAGCATAACATAAATACATTTTTTGGATAAACTTTTATTTTCTTACCGTAAAGTGATACATGTCTTTTTTCTTTATAGGACTTCCACCATCTCGTAGAGGGGATTTGGAAATTTTAGTTTACAATCTTATTCATTGGTTAGCTAGATCTCATACAAACGCGCCTCAATCGCATTCCACGGGTCTTCCTTGGGGACATCTCATATCAGGTATTTTATCTATAGTAAAGTAGTAATTTAGTGTGAATTGCTATATTCATTCGCCAAATACAGGTTTATATTTATAGTCTTTCAAAAACGTCTTTGATCGAATATTAATAATGTACACATCTAACTTCATGGAACAAGATTTCACAGTTTTAGATCTGAAATACAATGATCTTGATTTTTGACAGGTTATCAAACAATTTAGTGACATTGACGAAACAATTGCGTAGAGAAGAAGACAGTTAAGAATTCATATTCGTTCTGATATCAAGCACTATTAATTTTTGATTTATTCTTATCAAGGTTGATAATTATTTAAGGGAACTACTGGAAACAAATAACACATTAAAGTTTTTTTTCTAGCCCATTGAATATCTTAGTGGTTTGTAAGAAAAATATGTGTCTCGTGTTTCTGTGTGTCATAAATTGATTGAGTTTTAAATATATACTGACCATTAATTTCATAACTAAAATAACTAACCATAACATGATTTCCGTAAGACTTTGAACGATATAATGAGGCAGTTGTTGGTATCTCATTCAGTCAGTCACAGTGTAAAACCCGGTACATATGTACGTCGGTTCAAGTTGCCATACACCAATGGCACAGAGAGATGAAATTGTCAGGTCATATTTCAGAGTAGTAGAGGTACTAACAGTATTAGTAGTGATAAAAAAGATTAGGCTTCGAAGATACGACTCCAAAAATATAAATTAGTGAAATGATGACACAAGAAAATTTATAGGGAGTTCAGAAGCTCATAATTTGGGTGAAGACAAAGAACAGATACACCTGCGTCATACCAAACGATTTTGAACCATGTCATTTAAAGTCTCTAACCGTTGATTGCGATAACCATACGGACTCCAATCACGTAGTCTACACCTGTTAACATGGCTTAGTCCATTTGTCAATGACTTCATGGACTGGTGCCATGTTTCGGTTTGGCCGCCCCTAACTTCCTTCCAACACACTCCTACACCAGACAGCATCGCCCGTCGAGTTAGATGGTGGTTGGGCATATATAATACGTGTCCCAACCACCTCATTTGATGAATATTTGACACCTCACAATTGATTTGCCATCTTTACCTAGTACGTTATTCTTAATTCAGGGACTGCTTACTCAGTGTTCCCAAGACACAGGAGCAGTTGTGTGAAGATATTTATAATCGAATACCAGTAATCTGCAAATGTCCTCTATTTTTAGTGATCATTTTTCACACCTATAAAGTAGAACGAAGCGGACCGTTGCTTAGTAAACTACTAGTTGATACCTGATTTCTAACCAGTTATTCAACTGATATTCATTCATTCCTAAAATGTTTTCCATAAAGGATGAAGTCACGGAAACTAATAATGTAATATTTATAAAAATATTTAAAGTGGTGCATCTTTTATGGTATTATCCAATATTGAATATGTTAAATAATTGGACGATATGCAATATTTTTATTCTACCCTCTCACCCACCTGTTTATGTAGATCCAAAACTGCGTGCAAATGTTCCTGATCGTGTTAAAGTGGCTGTAGCTGCTTTAAAAGAGAAAACAATGAAAAACCCTGCTGAATTTGTATTACAAGCTGGTTACGGATCTAATCCTGGTTGGTTTTAACATCATTTGTGGGTTTATTTTATTCACTTACTAGATTTGGTAACATTTCCCCAGAAGGTTAATTAGTCAGTCGTGATCAAAAATGATTTAAAACTTGCTGCTTACATATGTCTTTTACTTCTGTAAACTGTTTCATAGCCGTAGAGCAGTGCAACACGGACTCTTGTTGACTATACTCGCTCTTTAGTTGGCAAACGGATGTCTCACCTGTGCTATAAGTGGCGTAAGTTGGCGAAGCCAAGGGAGCGTTGAGAATCCGTGTCGATATTTCATCAGCTACCGCTCCAGAAAGGCTGATTACACTTTCAAGATGAGCAGAATAGTTAATACACTCAATATAGAGGATAATACAGACCATCCCTCAACCCATATCTTAAATTTAGACGGAGTGAAATGCACCTCAAACGTGCTTGTATTGTTGTTCAAGGAGATCAAAAGATTACATTACATCATCATCACCAAATAGGACTATTTCACCTGTCTATTCACGGTCGATAAGTGATCTTTCCTGTGGATCAATCCTATAAATTATCTTATGAGTTTTTTATTTTTATTTATTTAAACACATACATATTGGTACAAAAGGGCACCAGATACATATGCGCCACACAAAATAATGAAAGTAGGAAGAGAAGGGATGAAAAGATAAGGCGGACTGAAATGTACAACCAGAAGACTCTTTCAGTTAAGAAAGTTAGAACCCCTCTTTATGAAGAAAGTAAAAGAAAGTTACAGCAGGATCGCCACTGGCTTCTATTCTGAGCCATATCTGATAACCTCTCTAGCCACTGTGTTGCACCATCTCTCGGACTCCAGCCAGGGAGTCTTGAAGGACCAACAGAAGCTAGCCCTTTGCAGCTTTCTTTCATGCCACGACACCATGTCATACACTGACCTCCTCTCCGCTTCTTCCAACCAGTTCCAGAGTCGGCAAATAATGCACGACGTGGAAGTCTCTGAGACGACATTCGTAGAACATGTCCAAGCCACCGAAGTCGGTGTTTCGAGACGGTGACACCAATTGAATTATCGTCTCTGGGCCGGAACATACGATACCGAACCTCTGCATTACTAACATGGTGTTGCCACTGGATGTCAGCAATCCTTCGGAGACAACGATGATCGAACACAGAGAGACGTCTAACATCCTCAACTCGGAGAGGCCAGGTTTCACAAGCATAGAAAAAAAACTGCTCTCACCGACGCGTTGTAGATCCGACCTTTTACAGCCAGACTGGCATCACGAAGGCGCCAAAGATGGCCCAGATTGGCATAAGCCGCTCTGGCTTTCATTATACGTGGATCAATCTCATCACTCACGCCACCACCAGCACTTATATAGCTACCTAGATACACGAACTTCTCAACTACTTCAATCTGCTCACCATCCAGGGTGAGTACAGGATGAGAATCCTGCCAGTCTTGTAGGAGTACCTTGCACTTGGAGGGTGTAAAGCACACGCCGTACCTACGGACACTGATTGCCAACCGATTAAGTGCGGATTGCATGTCTTGGGCATTATCGCACAGTAAGACAATATCATCCGCATACTCGAGGTCGAGAAGTCGTTCTCCAGGCAGTAGATCCACACCGCTATTACTTACATCCATCAGAGCTGTTTCCAGAATGTCATCGATGGGGGCCACACCCCGAACCCTTGACCTAAAGGTCTGATCCACAAGGCAGTGGAGCATCGTGAGGAGATGCAGTCCCATGGTAGTCGGTGACCAACAATTGGTTCGTACGCCATTCGTTCTATCAGGATCCTGGAGCCCATGTGCACCATTGGTTTGGAATCAGGGTTTTCCAACTCCCTTAGGTGGGCTTTCCGTGTCCACCAACCCGGTTAAAGCGCCGGACATTCGCTTTTCGTCCTCTCACTTTCGTAAACAACAGTAGTGCCACGAGAAGGCAGTGAGTAGGACTTCCCTAGCAGAGGCTATATATTCGCGTGGCCATGTGAGAGCATTTCGAGAATGAGAGCGGACTCTCCCCACTCTCGGCCGTACCAGGGCATTTGGGGGCTATCTTATGAGAAACTATCTGGTATGGACAACCTTTTGTATTTTGTTACTGTACAACAATTTCTGTATATTCTTAAACACCATGAATTGCTGTGAATTAACCCAAGTGATTTAAGATATATGATTATAACTGGAACAATGTGAAACACTGGCTTACGAGATATGTATTATTCCAAGTTATTACACTTGAAAATAGTGTATGGGCAGTCAAAACTAACAACTCAAATCATTGAGTAGTAAGAAAGATATAAGAAAGGGCAAAATAAATAAGTTTTCACTGTATCCAGCGATAGTCGCTTTGTCAATTGTTTATTCAACTTGTAGCTAAAGATACTATTAGTATCTGCTTCAGCAGTTCGTACTCAGAGACTGGTTGAAAATCAGTCTTGTATATGGATAAGGAGTATATATACAAACCCTTACACGAACGATAATACTAATAATATCAACATTAATGTTTGTTTATTTTTCTGTTGTTATTGTGACCTGATCGAGCTATATTTAGTGAAATATTCATTCCTTCAAGCGCTACTATACCAAGTAGGTTGGTTAGACAGCTGTAAGACTAAAAGCAAACTCATAGTCCGAGAGAGAATTTGTACTGCTGACTGTACTGGATTGTGGTAGCATTAAGTTGTTTCCCTCACACATCCAGCATCTACAACGATGTTGCTTTCTCGAAATTGAAGGTAAGGTTAGAAAATGCCAGCCCCTAGAAATAGCGCACCTCATTTTGGCCTACGGATTTCCATTGCTGATCGTAAGACTTTTAGATTCATAGATAACACATTTTAAACTAAGGATACAAAAAGCCATATATGGCCGGGCTCAAACAGTTGTCATTTGAATTCTGCGGTCACGCCCTCAAGTCGTCAACCCCGTTCTGGACCCGAATCCCCTTTCGAACTTCTCCTGATGAAAGTTTCTTCTACAACATGAGCGACTGAGAAGTGAGTATCACCCCGATACCTCTAACCTCATGATTGATTTTTATTGAGATAGATAAGTTTTGTATCCAATGTTTCACATTTTTTCTTTGTTAAAAAAATATGTTATTTTGTTCTGTTGTTATAGACATACTTGCATTTATTCAATCTATCACAAAGCTGAATTATACAGATACACCAGATTATTCTCGTTTACGTCAATTATTGTACAATGCAAAATGTTCTCTCAGCAATAAACAATCTGCTGTTGTACCAAGCTATAAATTGACTATGGAGTCGGATGAAACAAGTATCAAAGCTTCGCCTTCACGGCGTAAATGTAATATGGATAATTCTTCAAAGGTACGTAGATATATTTTTGAGTTTATTTTTCGAGAGAAGAAAGTATTTAAATAAACTAAAAGTTATTAGATCAATAATTTTTTCATTTTAATTCAATATTAGATATATTTAGTGTTGAGGCATCTAGAAGAAGTTTGATTGTCAGACCATGGTAGCTGTTGTGAAAGTAGCAATTGTGATCACTATAATCTTCCGTTCAAATTGGAGTTCTGATGTTATCATATTAAAGCCTTTGGGGATACCCTACTTCTTACTGTGACATATTGGGTTTCTGAAAATCATCTTTTGCCGTTGTCTTAACTTACATATGTACTTCTGTCATTGTTTTCCAGAGTTCTTTAAAGAAACTCAACTAAAATTCAAAGAATTTAGTTATTCATTCACGATTAAGTTAAATTCAAATACAAATATTCGTTGAGGTTACTACACCAAATCATCAACACAAAATGAATAGAAAAGGAGTTAGGATAATTACAGTATCAGAGATAATGAGAAAGAAAAAAACTTGTGAATGGGGTTCGAGAAGAAGGATTAAAGTCGTATATTTGAAAAGATACTGGAACACAAAATCTAGAGAAAATTAAAGAATGGATGTATTTGAACACTATGAATGATTATAAACCATGTCATTTAACGTCTCCAACTACTATCCTCAGTTATTGTACAGATCCTGACTAAGCACTGCGCACCTACCAACACTGCTCATTCTATCAGTCAGTGACATATTAAACTGACGCAGCATCTTGGTTTGAACTCTACTAGCTTTCTTCCAACTTATTCTTACTCCAGCCAACCGTACATGACGAGGTTGGCTATGGTTAAGCATGCGTAATACAAGTACTAACCACACAATAATCAAGGAGAAAGAGAAGATAAGTCGTTGAAACAGTGGAGGAGCAGTGAGCATCAAGGGATACAGTTGGAGTTGGAAGAAAATTAAGACGCTCCTTATTTAGCTTAAAGGTACGTTTTACTAATTATGAAGAGTCACAATAATAACTGTGGTCAAGTCATCGCTAACTTGGAATTTGAATTATTTCTAACAATCTACCAAGCTACCGAATTTTCTTCCATGGATTTTCATCCAGGTACTCATGATGAAAACTCCGCCTGTAGCTCTTCTAGAGTTACTGCCGGTCCCAAGCCCGGGTAAAGGAGGAGGGTTGGGCATGGGGTTAGCGACCCCATCCCGTAGAAAAGCTAACTCGCTAAAAAAACGCTAACCAGAAAAAATCATTCAAACCATTTAAACTCTGCTCTGGGAGTTGAAGGAATAATGACGTCTCATGATGAAAGCCGAAATTCTTCGGAAGTCACGAGACCGATGCACCTTCTAACAACCAGAGCAACACTCTTTATAGGTACATGGAACGTCCGGACAATGTGGGAGACAGGAAAGACCAGCCAAATAGCAATGGAAATGCGGAGATACAACTTGGCAGTACTCGGAATCAGCGAAACCCATTGGACACAAACTGGACAACAAAGGCTAGGTACAGGAGAGATGCTGCTGTACTCCGGTCACGAAGGGGAAAACGCTCCACACACTCAGGGAGTTGCTCTAATGCTGTCCAAAGAAGCAAGAAATGCACTTGTGGGATGGGAATCTCATGGACCATGGATAATCAAAGCATCATTCAGAACAAAGAAGCAAGGGATCACAATGAACGTTATCCAATGTTATGCACCCACCAATGATAGCAACGACGATGATAAAGATCAGTTCTATGAAAGACTGCAATCAATTGTAGCAAAGTGCTCAAGTAAGGACCTCACCATCCTGATGGGAGATCTAAATGCTAAAGTTGGAGTGGACAACACAGGATATGAAGATATAATCGGACGACACGGACTAGGAGAAAGAAATGAAAATGGGGAGAGACTTGCAAACCTATGTGCTTTCAACAAATTGGTTATAGGCGGCACAATATTCCCACACAAGCGCATACACAAAGCTACATGGATCTCACCGGACCATACCACAGAGAACCAGATAGATCACATCTGTATCAACAAAAAATTCCAAAGATCAATGGAAGATGTAAGAACCCGGAGAGGAGCTGACATAGCTTCAGATCACCACCTGGTTGTGGCCAAGATGAGACTGAAGCTTAAGAAAGACTGGACAACTGGACAAACAGAACTACAAAGGTTTAATACAGCCTTCCTTCGAGATGCTGACAAGCTCCAAGAATTCAAGATAACTCTCAACAATAGGTTCCAAGCTCTACAGGATCTACTGAAAGAACAAGAAACTACTTTGGAGGACAACTGGAAAGGGATAAAAGAAGCACTAACTTCAACGTGTCAGGAGGTTCTTGGTCCTAAGAAGCATCATCACAAGGAATGGATCTCTATGGGAACCCTAGACAAAATTCAAGAAACGAAGAACAAGAAACTAGCAATTAACAACAGCCGAACACGAGCAGAGAAAGTCAAAGCACAAGCAGACTACGCAGAAGCAAACAGAGAAGTGAAGAAAAGCATTAAAGCCGACAAGCAGAAATACATGGGAGAACTAGCAACGGCGGCGGAAAAAGCTGCAAGAGAAGGGAATATGAAACAACTATATGATACAACGAAAAAATTGGCAGGGAGATATAGCAAACCAGAGAGACCAGTCAAGGACAAAGAAGGAAAGACAATCACTGAGATTCAAGAACAGAAGAAAAGATGGGCAGAATACTTCGAGGAACTGCTGAATAGACCAGCCCCATTGAATCCACCGAACATCGAAGCAGCCCACACAGACCTTCCAATAGATGTCACTCCACCAACGATCGAAGAAGTCAAGATGGCCATCAGACAAATCAAAAGTGGGAAGGCGGCGGGACCTGACAATATACCAGCAGAAGCACTGAAGTCAGACATTGAAATAACTGCAAACATGCTTCACCTTCTATTCAAGAAGATTTGGGAAGAGGAACAAGTGCCAACGGACTGGAAAGAAGGATATCTCATCAAGATACCAAAGAAAGGAGATCTGAGCAAATGCGAGAACTACAGAGGTATCAGTTTGTTATCAGTACCAGGAAAAGTTTTCAACAGAGTGCTGCTGAATCTGATGAAAGACGCAGTAGACGCCGAACTAAGGGATCATCAGGCTGGATTCCGTAATGATCGGTCGTGCACAGACCAGATTGCGACACTACGGATCATCGTTGAACAATCAGTTGAGTGGAACTCATCACTATACGTCAACTTTATTGACTACGAGAAGGCGTTTGACAGCGTGGACAGGAGAACATTATGGAAACTTCTTCGACACTATGGAGTTCCTCAGAAGATCGTCAACATTATCCAAAACTCATACGATGGATTACAGTGCAAAGTGGTGCATGGAGGACAGCTGACAGGTGCATTTCCAGTAAGGACCGGAGTCAGACAAGGCTGTCTACTCTCCCCATTCCTCTTCCTTCTAGTGATTGACTGGATTATGAAGAATTCGACATCTGAAGGGAAATACGGAATACAATGGACAGCTCAGAATCAATTAGATGATTTGGACTTCGCAGATGACCTAGCCCTCCTCTCTCATACACACGACCAAATGCAGATGAAGACAGCAAATGTAGCAGCAGCCTCCGCATCGATAGGTCTCCACATTCACAAAGGAAAAAGCAAGATTCTCAAATGCAACACGGAGAACACCAACCCAATCACACTTGACGGCGAAACTCTGGAAGAGGTGGAAACATTCAAGTACCTGGGGAGCATCGTTGATAAACAAGGAGGATGGGATGCAGATGTAAAGGCGAGGATTGGCAAAGCAAGGGCAGCATTTCTACAATTGAAGAACATATGGAACTCAAAACAACTCTCAACTAATTTCAAGGTTAGAATCTTCAATACGAACGTCAAGACAGTCCTACTGTATGGAGCTGAAACGTGGAGAACTACTACGACCATCATCAGGAAGGTACAAGTATTTATAAACAGTTGTCTACGCAAAATACTCAACATCCACTGGCCGGATACTATCAGCAACAGCGTTCTATGGGAGAGGACAAACCAGCTTCCAGCTGAAGAGGAAATTAGGAAAAGACGTTGGAAGTGGATCGGACATACATTAAGGAAATCACCAATGTGCATCACGACTCAATCCCTAACTTGGAATCCGGAGGGGAAGCGGAAAAGAGGAAGGCCAAAGAACACACTACGCCGGGAAATAGAAGCCGATATGAAAAGGCTGAATAGTAACTGGAAAGAACTGGAAAGGAAGGCTCAGGACAGAGTTGAATGGAGAATGCTGGTGAGCGGCCTATGCTCCTCGACGAGGGGTAACAGGCGTAAGTAAGTAAGTAAGTAAGTAACTCATGATGAACCAAATAGACACTAGCAAAGCAACTTACTTTCGTTCTATGATGATCTGTTTTAAACTGAGCACTTTGTCCCAGCATCAGAAATAATACTCGATTGGGGAACCTCTGGAACAATATGCTTGAAATGTCTCCTAGTTACCGGATTTATTGTTCCATTATGGCAAGACTTATGAGATAACTGCTTCAACTATCTCCACACACAGTTGGAGAATTTCACATTCCTTGCACTATGTTATTGGTGAATGTAATGTGTTTTCCGGAAAAAACGCTCGAAAGGATTTCATAGGCTTTGACCTATTCTTATTTCATGCAAATATGTTTGTCACTTAAAAAATCAATTTCAGAGACCATCTTTTCTTCATATTATTCATTGGGAATATACTCATGTTATTACTTCATAAATAATGCAGTAGAAGCAAAAGATAGATTTTATTATTTATGATCATTGTGTATAAACACCTCTGTTATTTATTCTTCAGATTTACTTATTTTATGGAGTCTCTGTTATTTTATACTTTTATTTTTGCTATTATATTTTTCTATTGAACCGGTCATGATAGATATCCACTTTCTTTTTATATTTCACCATTACAGATCAATGATTCACGCGCTTTGAATTCAGTGGAGAATTTGGAAGTTATTCATACAATTCCAAAAACTCCAGGTAGTTTACCTGGTAAACGACCCCGAGGTCGTCCACCCGGTCGTCCCAAACAATTAGAAAATATATCACCAGCTGTTACTTCTTCTTCGTCCGAAGTAGTAGACTCTTCAAAACACTCTAAAGTTTCTGAGAGTGGTGCAAAACCCAAGTAAGCGTAAAGATTAAACCTTAGTTATTGTCACTATTATTATTCACGCCAATTATCTATTTAGTTGCAACTAGTTTCGGAAGGTAATTCTCGAAGTGCGAATGAGAAGCTGTAACCAGTGGAGTTCAATCATGTCAGCTGTGAGTCAGTCTCCCGCTGATGGAATAGATTGATGGTTGCTCTAACTGGTGAATTAGTTGTAGTTGGAATTGCTAATCATCAGATTTCGACTCAGTGGTTCGAATGTCTGGCGTTCGGCATAAAACACGGTCTTAGGTTCGACCCTTAGTGGGTTCGTGGTTTCCCACTTCTGAGGAGTCTTATACTAGGACAAGACATTTGTTCAGCATCTCTTGGTTTTCAATGGTTGTGCTCAAACAATTTCTAGATTATTTAGTAGTTTTAAATTTTCTTTTTCATATAATCAGATTGGTACCTGTAAACCTCCTTGACTTTCATTTCAAAATTATAAGAATGTATCTTGAATATAATTTTTATATTAGACCAATCGCTTGAAGACTCAATTGTGGTGTTTGACTTCATAATTATTTTCACATTTAAACCACCAAACAGTCAAGTCCCAGCTCACCCAATATTTTAGTTGTATTTATAGGTTATAGGTTATTTGATAGTCAGCTTAATTGGTTCAGCAGCCTAACTTAAGTGTTTCCTATTATTAACAATGAATATCTCTTATCACTTCTACAAGTAAATCATCTTGGAGGTGTTTTGTTGTTTGAGCTGGATTGTTTAATCTTAGAGGTGATATGTACATCACCGTGAAATGTTATCAGCTAGAAGTATTTTGCAGTTTAGTCAATAGGATCTTTTTAACGACATAAAATCCACATTAATGATAAAACCAAACAATAAACTACCATTCTCGGATGTGAATGATCATCAGAATGAATTTGCTAATGCCCGAGACTCACTTATATCGAAAATCAAAATGTATTAATGAAATCCTTTCTTACAACAATAAACTATTGACACAAGAAATTTCACACCAGCCAAAAACATAATTAAACCAGATAGCTCAAAGAACACAAGACACCTTTATGATCCTCAACCTGTTGTACTACAGGTAATCTAGATCATCATTAAGTTATAACTGTCACTTAAAGGATTCTAAGAATTCCCTGTTTAATATATTCCTGAATTTCTGGTGATAAGTACGCAACGGTGAACTTTAACATATCAGTAGCGAAACACTTGTCATCAATGAGACTGCAGTAATCGTCGTGCTGTCCCATAAATACCTAACCGTTCGTCTGGGTTTAATTATTGGTTGAGTCGTGGGTGCATACTGCCAAAAAGCCTGATACTACAAAGAAACAGTTGTTCAGTGCTCCTAAGTTTTAAATAATACTTCAACTGAGATCAATCTATGACGAACACGACCTACAAATTCAGTCAGTCTCCACAAGAATCCTTCAATTGAATCTCTTATGACCATTATTTTGTTATTGATAGTGATAGTTGATGAAATTAATGAACTTATGGGTATTTTAAATTCCAATTAATATTGTTCAAGAGGTTTTTAAACTTATAAAACATTATAAAATAATTTAAGGGCATACACTATAAGGTCTGACTATTACTAACCTGAAGAATTTCAAGTTTTATAACTATTGGGAGCCCTCAAGAATGTTCCGGAAAGGCCTGTAAAGGCTACAAACACTTCGTTCAATCAGCGTTCAGTGAAAAGGGATAAATTATGTGCTATATCCTGATTGAACAACTTCCTATTTTAGCGTAGTTCCAGAAGCTTCCGAAATGTCAAGACTACTCAAACTAGTAGATACCATTGTTTTCAGTACCTAAACTAACTTCAGAAGTAGTGTTTCTTTTTATACCTTCTCTCTTTTATTTCTCGTTAGGGTTCCAAGTCCTAGAAGTTTCTATGAAACTAGGGTGTCGTTAGAAGTCAGATACCAGACCTATTGTTAACAAGCTCCATTAAGTGGTCGTGATAACTATGTTGACAACCGATCTTCAAGTTAAGTTGATGATTATTTGAAATTGGTCAGTTGATGGTCACTTAACTTTCATCTCATTCGTTGCATGTTCGAGTCCCTTTCCATCTACTTCCGTCTGAGCATTTAGGTAGTATTGTTACCCTTTGGATTTGTAATGTATCTCAAGGCGAAGTTTATAAATTAGTTGTTGATAAATAAGTTATATTTTATTTTAATAATATTTTATTTCACCGTTCAACGATTCTTAGTTGTTTTTCATATCATTATCAGTTCATAAATAGATAGATCTGTCTCTTTTAGATGAATCTACAATTTAAAACTGCTTACCTAGATTGGTAAGAATATAAAATGAAATTTAAGTCATACGATTAAGCTAAAATAATTATGTTCTAAATGTTGTATTAATTATTGTTTGTTTTTTCGCCCAAATTTATCATATTACAATTATTTAGCTCTAAAAGAACTAACGTGAAAACGTTGAATTCACAATCGATATGTTTAAATTCACCAACTGAAACATCTACTCCTGATGGTGGTGGACTTATATCGACAGTATCCGGTACTAGATTTTTAAGTCCTAGTAGTACTAGTAATAAACATAGCAATTCTGTACTTCAACAACGTGTCCGAACTCGACTTATTGATTTGTTTTCAGACAGTGATGATGAATCTTTTGTTAGTCAACATAACTTGTCCAAATCTCGTAAAGATGCATTGAAATTAACGCCTAAACTTCAATCACCGAAGCAATCATCACCGTTTGCCAAACAATCACGACAGAAACGTCAACCACTAACAAGTTCTACTTCAAAGCTTAAATCTCCAGAGTTTACATCTTTAACCGCTGATCGTAGACGTTCCGGTTGGTGTCAAACATCACCAGAACTGTTAGCTGTCGCTAAAGCTGAAGCATTAGGTCGTAAGGCTTTGAAACTTGCAGAAATGAATTACAATTGAACCTGGCTCATATACATATATATATGTTTGTGGATGTATATTTATATCTTTGGTGTATCAACGCATTTCCTTTGATCAAAATGTTGTGGATATATATGTTTCTCTGTGAAGATATTTTTTGTTCGATGTATTATTTCATTCATATCACCATGTCCTTTCAATTTGTTGAAAGAGGTTGTGGTAGATCCTTATTTTTATAAAGAAATATCTGATAAAAATTCTAGATATAATACTTCAGTTTTGTTATTTAATCATGAACAAAATACTCCTTTCTCTGTTTTTTCCACCTTGACTTGTGGGATATATGGTTATATGTGAGTTTTCATTTATGTTGCAAATCGTGCCAACTGTCGACATACTTTGATATCATCAGTCGTCATATTAACTAAAGCGATAACTGTACGTTTTAGCTTAATGATCAGCCTGTATTTTTCTATAGTTTTATTTCTGATGATGTTGAAAGAATAAATCCCATTTTAATTTGGACACATTTATTCGTGTATAAAACAGTTGAAAGATCCTAAATGTATAGTAACTGAAAAAAATTATGCATCTACCTATTTTGTTGCTACGTTCTTTTTTACTCAAATACTTTTCTAGTAGTTTGAATATGTAAACGTAAAATTGTCACGTTTGTTCAGAAAAGCTAGTTTTTCTGTTATAAATGTTATCCACAAAGCAATGTCTTCCATAGTAGTCGAGAATATGTACATGCATTTATTCATACCGTATAAATAACATGTTGAGACGAATATTAAATGTTCTGTCGAACTATCTTGTAAAAGATATTTGATGCTTAATGTCATGGATCATTCTAATATGATGTTATCACTGAGAACCAGGATGGACTGGATAGCTGTTTAATCCTAATGTGGGATTCTTCAGCACTATACACCGAGAACCTAGCCAGGGATCAGACTCAGAAGCTTCGGGCTGCTGAGTTTTAATCCAATCGTTTGTATTTCTAACTTCATTCAATGACACTGATGATGTTTATCTTAACACTAGTTGTCAGATGGAATTTTAATTGCTAAATTTAATTCAACATATAAAAGAACATAAAATGTCTTACATACTGGATTGTTTGCATAGTTGAATGCTTTATGTGTCGTAACTGTCGTTGAACTGAAATGAATGACTACCTATATTTAGCGAATCTATGAAGCATCATCCAAACTACTTGATACATGAATCCTATCTTTATGCAATATAAAAGAAAGTAGAGGAAGATGATCCATACTTAAGTCTCTGTAGAAATTTGAACATTTGTAGGTGATGTAAGCAAAAGCGAGGCAGTAGAAGGTATGTAAATAACATATCATTGCAAATGGAAAATACAATTTATAGTTTGTCATCGAAAAAGATCAACCTTGAACACAGTACAGTAGTAGTCTGTTAGAATAAAGCGAAAGATAAGGTATTCGAATTCCTGTTTCATTAGTCAATATTGAATTATTAAGGACTGATTCAAAATCGAGTGATTTAATTACTTGAACCCACGTGAAATGAGTAGGTAAACTTTCACTTAATTGTAGCTATAATTCTATTGGGTATTTCTGAAGTCTACAATAATTCATAATTACAAATGATTGGGGTCTTTTAGTAAGAAGCTGGATCTACACAAAGTTAGTAGACCGGGCGAATGACACAATACTTCAACCATAATCCGCAAAATAGTGGAAGATGGAAGAAAGTCAGGGCAGGATTTCCTATTCACGAAGTCAAAACTGAAACGAAACAGTTCTGTATGCATAGCGACAGTTTTGCAAAGTAAGAACGAGGATTTTAAGTCTTTTTATAAAAGCGTTGGGTGGAAGTTATACAAAATTGTCGAATTCGACCTTGCGACTTCTGATTGCTGGTTCTTAATCATGAATATAAAAACAGTATATTGACGGGCCAATTAGAATAATGAAGATAACCGGGTGTTTCTAAAGAGATAAGGGAATGAATCGTATTTGTTGTAGACCATGTAAGATGAACACTAGAAATATGTTTGTATATTCCTCAGAGCGTTCCAATTAATAACGAATCACAGATTGAAAGAGTTAAATGTATCAAGTACTTAGTTGTTTTTATGTACAGTGTATATAACACAAAAGTTAACCATATTCCTAAAGGTTTTATCCTAACAAGTCAAGCTCGGGACTTCTACAACGCTTTTGTCCTTATAAAAGTTTAGAAAGAACCTTTTTTGTTTTTTTTTGCCATAAACTGTTCATTTACAATATCTGTTTTCTGATTGACCAACAACAGTCAAGAACTCATTGTAGTAATTCAAGCTCGTTCCTATACTATAATGAGTTCAGGATGAAAATCATTAAAGTTTTAGATCTAGATGTATTAATCTACAAATTCCCTATGGTTGTTTTGAAATGACGTTTTTGCAATAGACTCAACAAGGAAAGAACGATTTTAAAATATTAACTGAGAATTTCTAGTCATAAGCGAATTCTATCAGTTTCACATTATATAACATTGAATCATTCCTTTCACTCTGTTAATCCCCGAAAATATTTACAACCTAATGAACCTGAACAAGTACAATTCATTTTCATATATTACAACAATAAAGAAAATTAAATGTGGCAACCATATATTGACTACAAACAAGAATAATACAGAACAATAATTGTCTGTGGATGTTTAAATCTCTAATAAAGATACATTTATCTGTTGTAATCTTCTCTATGATCGTCTTATCGATTGATCTACTTTGTTTGGTGATGTTGATGATGCTTTCATTGCATTATTTAATAATGTCATGTAATCAGATGATCGTAAAAAACGTGCATATGAATCAGTTCTTACTAAATTGTAAATATGTTCTTGTGCCAAATCAAAACAAAATGGATTAGGATTCTGTAAAAGTTTCAGGAAAATAAAAAAAGTAGATGCTTTGACATAAGACAAGATGAATGGAATCACATAATGTAAAATCGTAAGAAATATTAACTATCAATGTCATGTTAAAGTAATGACATACATAAATTTCTGAAATGTATACATTAATGTATATGCACTGTGACTAACAGTGAAATCACAATGCACAGATACGTTTTGATAGTTCACTTGTTTGTTATCTTGGAATGACAGCTTCATTTGATTGGATATGTTTTATGATTATCTTTTGAGTGACTTACAAGTCATACGTTATTTTCCAATGATTAAAATAGTTGAGTTGATTTAACTCGCTGGATTAAGACATTGTCAGAAATGACTACATAATGAAACAAGCGGTGATACTATTGTTGTTTTCTTTTACGTTTTTCATAAAGTAAAAGAAAGCGTTTTATAGTTGAAAAAATTTCTTTATGATCGTATTTTTGTCTGAACTGTATCTCCTACTACTTACCATTCTTTGCACCTTACTTACTTAAATGGTTTGGATAATTTTTTTCTGGTTAGGTTTTTTGTTAGCGAGTTGGTTTTCTACGGGATAGGGTCGCTAACCCAATGCCCAACCCTCCTCCTTGATCTGGGCTTGGGACCGGCAGTAGCCCCCGGAGGGGCTACAGGCGGAGTTTTCTTATGCACCTACATAATAATGAATTTTTTTTTTGATTATGCTCCTCACTCCCTTATTTCTTCATCATATATTACCTATTTTGTATGAAGCATACTATTTTCAATGGCCAGTTGTATCAGAATGAATGTATATGAATTAATTACATGTGTTTCATTCAATTTCTGTGAAATGTTTATTGTTATAGAAAAATAATTCAGTCACGTTTCCTAATATATTAGTTTTGTTAATGAACAATAAGTTGTTTCTTATCGTCAATGATTTCATCTTGTTAGGAAGTTATAAATGAGATGAATATTCTGTCTAGATTTTATTATAGTCTGTCAACAAACATTAACAATATTATTATAATAAAGACGGTAGGTGTTTGCATAGGCTTTATGAATGACGTTCATCAATAATTATCTACGAGATTTGTATTAATTAGCGTATAGAGTTCGTAGATAAAAGAGTAGCTAGGCTTAATCTGGTTAATTAATTCAAAATATCTAGATCTCTACCATGTTAAGAATGGTAATGTTCGGTCACTGAAATTCTGAATGCTTATCAAGTAAGTAGTGAGTATATATCTGTTCACATTATATCACAATAGGAGTTAAGTTCCATTTAATTTCAAATTAAATCGGCCAGGATTTAAGCTAAAAGAATCAGTTGTCTAAGATTATATGAGATAGATATAAATAATAAAATAGGGAGTGAAAACTGCAAATTAAGACAAAACAGTAGTCAGGTTTTCATTACAAGCTAACATCAGCTTCAGTATAATACACAGACTCCACGAGAGAGTGAACCTAGGAATTTGATAATTTTGAATTTGCATATGAATTTGAGTCTATTGAATCAGATAAAAATCATTAATTTATGATTTTAATTTAAATGAGTTTGTGATAATAACTAACTAGTGTTATCGGAAATGATTATCTTGGTCTCAATATCAATGAAATCTACCACAGTTGACTCTCGAGAATTCATCTAGAAATTATGGTTCACATCAAGAACTGACCTTAGAAAATCATTAGAGATCAGAAAGAATTGAACAACTGTTTCGTTTTAATTTGTCATTGTATTGTGGTACACACTAATAGTTTTTAAAGTTTACATATATTGCAAACATTAGTAACATACCTTCAATAGTTCTTCTGTTACCGTCATAATATAGTTATCTACATTGATTTCACTAGAGCCACTCTTAGCTAAATATTCTGCATAGATTCTTTTGGATTCTTTTTCAATCATAGATAGTGGTCCAAATTTGTATTTTATAACTGTTTGTAAAAATCGGAAATTTTCACAACTATATTCTTTTTGCATAAAATGTTCTAACCATTTTTGTCCATTTTCATCACGAATTAAATGATTCATACTTGTACCCCACAAACGTACCTTAGATTAAAAGTATAAAAGAATCAATGGTTTATTAAATAAGGCAAGAATACAGTTCCATAAAATTCACTTGGTATTGTTTGTTTGAATCTTCCCATTGATGTTTAAGACTGCAAATGGTCAGTATGCTGACGAGTCCCAAATAGGACGAAACGCGCGTCCTGGATTCCACTGCTAGCCACTATCCATCTTTGCTTTTAATGCCTGTGACTTCAGACAATATCGAGGCAGTCCGCACAGTATGCACATATGCCAATTAGAGACTAACCAGTTACAGTCCTAAACATCAATGGGAAGATTCAAACAAACAATACCAAGTGAATTTAACTTATAATTTGTATTATAGATTGATGTTAAGTCAAATAATTATTGAAAACGGGATAGCATTTGATCTTTGTTTTCTTATAGTAATTTACAAACTGATATAATACATTCAAAATAAATAATTCTTACTGTTAATTTTAACAGTTGAGATCATGAATCAAGTAAAACTAGAAGACCATGGAAAACCTGGAAGCACTGGACTCCTCCTCTCGCGAGACGGGATCGTAGGCGCGCACTGCTGAGGAGTCCCACAATAAGACGAAACGGCCGTTTAGTGCTTCCAGGTTTTCCCTAGTGGTCTAGCTTCAACTGGTTCATGATCCCAACTGTTAAAATTACTATAATATCCAAAAAACCCCTTCTGATAATAATGTTACTGTTAATTTTGTTTGTTTTCCCCAACTAGTTTAGGCGTAGTAATTTTGTTCTGAAAAATTGAGAATTTTTTATACACACGCATTTTATTTTTTATAGTCACCATTTATTCTAATTTATGGAGATGATATTTACTGAGGAAAGTATTAAAATAGTAACGTATTGAAGCATTTAACAATAGAATTCATGCTTCAATCTGTTTTCAGGTGAGCAAATCCTAATTCCATGTATATTGTTGTCTGTTTTTCGAAATGTTTCAAATGACTTTCGTTTGCATGTTTGTTTGTTTTTTCTTTCTTTTGTGAAAAAATAATAAACTACTTAACCTCACCTAAAATAATTAGTGTAAAATCAAATCTGTTATCTGGGTCACACCTCTTAGAAATGATTATAAAAAGAAAATGGAAATGTATATGCGTGCATGAATTTGAGTGATATCTGTTTACAAAAACAAAAAAACCCCGTTGAACTACAAATTATTCGATGACAAAATAAACTTAATGGTTGACGAGTCCAAAACAAAAAGGAAATAGGCATTGTAGATTCCATAAGAAGGCCTTGTGAGGGCTTGTCTTGTGACACAGTTGGGTGCTTTCTTCGATGTGTGTCCTATCCACTTCCAACACTTCTTCCTGATTTCTTCCTCCACTGGAATCTTGTTTATACTCTCTCACAGTAGAATGTTGCTGATAGTGTCTGGCCAACGGATCCGAAGTATCTTGCGTAGACAACCGTTAATAAACACTTGTATCTTCTGGATGATGGCTTTCGTAGTTCTCCAGTTTTCCGCCCCATACAGTAGAACTGTCTTGACATTTGTATTGAAAATTCTGATCTTGGTGTTGGTTGACAATTGTTTTGAGCTCCAGATGTTCTTCAGTTGTAAATATGCTGCTCTTGCTTAGCTGATCCGCTCCCTCACATCTGCATCTGATCCACCGTGTTCATCAATGATGTTGCCCATATATGTAAAGTTTGACTTTATGGTTATGAAAATTACGTTTCATACTGATCAATACAAATGCTTGTCATTGACAATCCTCACTTTA